CGTGTCCGGCGTCTGCATCGGCGGCGTCGGCTGGTCGGGCACATCGAGCTTCTCGGACCTCTCGGACCTAAGGGAAAAGCCACTCGTCTGTCCTGCCGGGTCTTCATCCAAGCCGCCGCGCGCATCTCGCGCCTCAACAGCCGCTTCATTTGTGGGTGCTGCTGTGGGTGGGCCACCCTTGGCATCGGTGGAGGCCGCCTGGCCATCGTTCGCAATCTTTTGAAGGCTGGTCAGCGTTCCTTCGCTCTGGCTCCTAGGATGCGCGGGAGCAGCTTGCTTGTCGGACCCGCGCAGGGCCGACGTGGACCCAGAATCAAGCGCAGCCGAGGAGCTCTTCCTGCTCTTGAGCTGTGGCGCCGAGCTGTGCCCACTGTACGTCTCGACATCGAGCAAAAAGTAGCGCACGCCCGCCGGCAGGTGGAACGGATTCGCCGCCTCGTCCTCCTTGGCATCCGCATCTGTGGCCGTGGCCGCGGGCACAACGCAATCGGTAATCGTCGTGATGCGCGCCACGATCCACTCCTTGGTCCTCAGCTGCTCCGCCAGTGGTCCCTTGGCGTTGAGGAAGAAGTGCGGGAAGCTGATGTTGAACGCAGCCCACGGCTTGGCAGCCAGATTCGAATTCCTCGTAGGCAGGAATAGCGCCAAGTCGCCCGACTGAAAGTTGCGGAAGGCGATCTTGTCTCGAGCCGCCGCATTCGCCTTGGTCACCTTGTCGTTCGCCGACTTCCACGCCTTCTGCCACTTGCGCACCAGCACGTTGAGCGAGTCGAGCTTCGCCTTGACTTCGTCGTACATCTCGACCGCATCGAACGCACGCAGCGCATCGAGCGTCGTTTCAAAGTTGGCACCCTCCGCCTCGGCTTCGAATGCATCGAGCGCCGCCTGGCGTTGCGACTCTGAAAGATCGGACGCGGAGAGGCTGCCTGTCGATGCAGCGATAGCACGCTGAGCCACAGCAGCTGCCGAGCCCGCAGGCGCCGAGCCCGACGTGCCATTGTTGCTCGCAGCGACAGCCGCGGTGCTGGACGACGACGCTTGGCGGGACGACGAATGGACCGGCATGGCACGCACCGTCTTGCGCAGCTGGCTGACCTTGGCGAGCAGTCCGCGCGTTCGCTCGAGCAGCTGCTGGCGGCTGGCTTCGACCTCGCGGCGGGACGCCTCGGCTTCGTCGGCGATCTCCTTGGCGCGGTCCATCTCTTTGACGATCTCTTCGTGCGCGACGTCGGCGGCCTGCAACTGGCCGCGCAGCAGCTCGATGGCCTCGCGATCCGGGATGCGACTTTGCTCTGCGCGCGACGCGATCGCCGTCTGCTGCTGAAGCAGTTGTACCTTGGCATCCAATTCCGCCTTGAGCGCACGAACCTTCTCCTCTAGGATGGCGCGGTCGCCATCCGCCTCGGCGCGGTACGAGCGGATCTGTCGCTCCTTGACGGCCTCGACCTCTGCTGTCGTCTCGCGCGCCTTGGCCGCCTCCGCATGGGCGTTCGACAGCTGCTCCGTCAGCTCGTCGATACGCGCCTGGGCGGTGCGGAGCTCGTCCTCGGCACTCGATCCCTCGCTGAGCAGCGCCTCGATGCGCTTGCTCGCGTCGATACGTGCGACCTTGGCCTCCTCGAGCTCGACGTGCAGCTCGTGCGCCTGTGCCTCGAGCTCAGCGACGCGCTCTGCGTCCTCCATGGCCTCCTGCTTGGCTTCGGCTTCGGAACGGTGGCTCTGCTCGAGATCGCGGCGCAGCTGGTTGACTTCGTCGACCATGTTGAGCCTGCGCTCGCGCTCCACCTCGAGGTCGGCGACGAGCGCGTCGATGCGGTTCTGCGCCTCGCGCCTGTCTGCCTCGCGCTGTGTTGCGTCCGACTTGCCCGTCTCGAGCTGGCGCTTGAGCGTCTCGATCTCAGCTTTGAGGCCTAACGCGCGGCTTTCACCTTCTGCTTTGAGCGCACGCTCTGCCTCGTCCTTGGCGGCTTTGACGGCCGCCAGCTCGCGACGCAGTTGGGCGAGCTCTTGATCGTTGGCGGCCGCGAGCGACGCAGTGAGACGTTTGCGGCGACGCTCACGCTTGCGCGCGCGAATCGACGTGTCGGAGCCGCTCTCGTCGGCATCGTCGTCGGAACCGTCTTCGTCGTCTTCCTTGTTGAGCAGCTGTAGGTTGACGAGATGAATAAACTCGTCGTCGAGGTCCTGCAGCGCGGCCGCCAGAGATTGCAGTGCCGCCTTGACCTCAGGTATCGGGCTCGCGGCTGCGTCTTCACCCTCGGCCTCTTCGCGTAGCCGCAGATCTACCTGGTCGAGCAGCTCGTAGAGAGCCTGGAGGTCTGCCGGGCTGAGATCGGCGGTACCTTCGTTGCTGACGCGGGGCGTGGTGATCTCGAGGCTCGGCGGTTTGTCGTCCATGCCCTTGACCTCCCACGGCAGAAGCGACGAGACGTCGCTACGGTAGAACTGGCGTCGCTTCCACTCGGACGCGGAGAGCTTGGCCATAAGCTCGGCGAGGGACTGCGACTTGCCGAGGAAGTGCTTGGAAAACTCACGCCGCCTGACGACCTCGACGACGGTGGCGCCGTAGGCCCAGAGCATGTTTTTGAGCCGATGCAGATGCTTGAAGCCGTCGAGCTTGTTGGAGTGCAGATCGGCATCGACCGCGGCCAGCAAGGATCCGGTCTCTGTGAACTCGGACTGGATGCCCGAGATGTCGACGAGCAGGTGCAGGCTGCGCTCGAGGATGTCGTTGCGATCCTGCGTGAGGCGCTGGACGGCTTCGCGCGCCACCTCGTTTAGGAGGAGGAGCTCGTTGGCGCTGCTGACGATGCGGTCGAACGTGGCACGGTCGATCTTGTCGGCGACAGGCCAGCCCTGTGCATCGGGTGAGCATGTGGACTCGATGAAGGCATGCAGCTCCCTCGTTCGCGCCAAAGCTTCTGCGACTCGCTGGTACGTCTCTTCGGCCACTTCTGGCGTGGTGGCCTCGACCTCGTCCGACAGGCCCTGTGTGTCGTTGCGAATGAGCGTGAGGTCGACGTCGATCCTCTCGATGCGCTCACGCAGCTCGTTGAAGACGCGCTGGCAGGCGTCTGCGACCGCACTCATCTTTGACTTGCTGATGTAGTCGCCGAGGGTGCGGTGCTTTGGCTTGGCAGCTGCGGCCGATCCGTTGGACTGGCCATTCTGTGTCGAGCCCGAAGCTGTGGTGGCGGAGGTGGTGGTGGACATCTGTGCGCCTGAGGACTGGAGGCGCGGGTGGATGGAGACCATGCCGAGGATGCGCAGGTCACGCTCGTAGCCTTGCAGGAGGCTGTTCATGCGAGTGAGCTCCTTCTGTGCGACGTCGTCGATGAGCGCCTTGGCGCCGTTCTCGATGTTGTCGGCGTGATCTCTGAGGTTGGCGAGCGCCACCTGGAGGCTGCGGGCGATGAGCGTGATGCGGTTGAGCAGGTCGCGACAGGTGT